CCCCTGAGTCTAGATTGGACTCCACTAGGTCAGCACCGACGCTTCCAAGTCGGTGATGTGGAGTATCTTTGCCGGCATTGAGAAATCCGGCACCCTTGCAGGCCGGCGACTCCAGGTCGGGAGTTCCCTACGGCAAACTTCAGCTGTGCGAGAGGGCTCTGGGCATCACTTTATTTCAGAGTATTTTGGGGGTATAGTGATTTTGTTGCCATTATTACCAGCCATGACTAGAAGCTATTAGAAGCTGGTATATTCCAGCTTCCAACTTTTAACTTTAAAGCACTTTTTTTAATCAAAAGCTAGGATTACCAAACACCTCTTTTAGCTTCTTTTAATCTAAAAGCCAAAAAGCACTTAATTTAAGCAATGGCAAACACACCTTTAATCTTATTACTTATTGCTTATTCTTATTTTATTCAGATCAGATCAGATCAGAAAAATTCAGATCAGATCAGATCAGATCAGAAAGATTCAGATCAGATCAGAATCATTCAGATCAGATCAGAAAGATTCAGATCAGATCAGAAAGATTCAGATCAGATCAGGAACATTCAGATTAGACCAGGAACATTCAGATCAGACCAGGAACATTCAGATCAGATCGGGAACATTCAGATCAGATCAGAAAAGTTCAGACATGATTTATCCTTTTTATTATAATAATAATTATAATAATTATAATAATTATAATTATTATTATTCTTGTTGTTATTGTAATTAGTATAATTAATATTATTATTGATTTTATTATTATTAGTATTATTATTATTATTATTGTTGTTGTTGTTGTTGTTGTTGTTGTTGTTGTTGTTGTTGTTGTTGTTGTTGTTGTTGTTGTTGTTGTTGTTGTTGTTGTTGTTGTTGTTGTTGTTGTTGTTGTTGTTGTTGTTGTTGTTGTTGTTGTTGTTGTTGTTGTTGTTGTTGTTGTTGTTGTTGTTGTTGTTGTTGTTGTTGTTGTTGTTGTTGTTGTTGTTGTTGTTGTTGTTGTTGTTGTTGTTGTTGTTGTTGTTGTTGTTGTTGTTGTTGTTGTTGTTGTTGTTGTTGTTGTTGTTGTTGTTGTTGTTGTTGTTGTTGTTGTTGTTGTTGTTGTTGTTGTTGTTGTTGTTGTTGTTGTTGTTGTTGTTGTTGTTGTTGTTGTTGTTGTTGTTGTTGTTGTTGTTGTTGTTGTTGTTGTTGTTGTTGTTGTTGTTGTTGTTGTTGTTGTTGTTGTTGTTGTTGTTGTTGTTGTTGTTGTTGTTGTTGTTGTTGTTGTTGTTGTTGTTGTTGTTGTTGTTGTTGTTGTTGTTGTTGTTGTTGTTGTTGTTGTTGTTGTTGTTGTTGTTGTTGTTGTTGTTGTTGTTGTTGTTGTTGTTGTTGTTGTTGTTGTTGTTGTTGTTGTTGTTGTTGTTGTTGTTGTTGTTGTTGTTGTTGTTGTTGTTGTTGTTGTTGTTGTTGTTGTTGTTGTTGTTGTTGTTGTTGTTGTTGTTGTTGTTGTTGTTGTTGTTGTTGTTGTTGTTGTTGTTGTTGTTGTTGTTGTTGTTGTTGTTGTTGTTGTTGTTGTTGTTGTTGTTGTTGTTGTTGTTGTTGTTGTTGTTGTTGTTGTTGTTGTTGTTGTTGTTGTTGTTGTTGTTGTTGTTGTTGTTGTTGTTGTTGTTGTTGTTGTTGTTGTTGTTGTTGTTGTTGTTGTTGTTGTTGTTGTTGTTGTTGTTGTTGTTGTTGTTGTTGTTGTTGTTGTTGTTGTTGTTGTTGTTGTTGTTGTTGTTGTTGTTGTTGTTGTTGTTGTTGTTGTTGTTGTTGTTGTTGTTGTTGTTGTTGTTGTTGTTGTTGTTGTTGTTGTTGTTGTTGTTGTTGTTGTTGTTGTTGTTGTTGTTGTTGTTGTTGTTGTTGTTGTTGTTGTTGTTGTTGTTGTTGTTGTTGTTGTTGTTGTTGTTGTTGTTGTTGTTGTTGTTGTTGTTGTTGTTGTTGTTGTTGTTGTTGTTGTTGTTGTTGTTGTTGTTGTTGTTGTTGTTGTTGTTGTTGTTGTTGTTGTTGTTGTTGTTGTTGTTGTTGTTGTTGTTGTTGTTGTTGTTGTTGTTGTTGTTGTTGTTGTTGTTGTTGTTGTTGTTGTTGTTGTTGTTGTTGTTGTTGTTGTTGTTGTTGTTGTTGTTGTTGTTGTTGTTGTTGTTGTTGTTGTTGTTGTTGTTGTTGTTGTTGTTGTTGTTGTTGTTGTTGTTGTTGTTGTTGTTGTTGTTGTTGTTGTTGTTGTTGTTGTTGTTGTTGTTGTTGTTGTTGTTGTTGTTGTTGTTGTTGTTGTTGTTGTTGTTGTTGTTGTTGTTGTTGTTGTTGTTGTTGTTGTTGTTGTTGTTGTTGTTGTTGTTGTTGTTGTTGTTGTTGTTGTTGTTGTTGTTGTTGTTGTTGTTGTTGTTGTTGTTGTTGTTGTTGTTGTTGTTGTTGTTGTTGTTGTTGTTGTTGTTGTTGTTGTTGTTGTTGTTGTTGTTGTTGTTGTTGTTGTTGTTGTTGTTGTTGTTGTTGTTGTTGTTGTTGTTGTTGTTGTTGTTGTTGTTGTTGTTGTTGTTGTTGTTGTTGTTGTTGTTGTTGTTGTTGTTGTTGTTGTTGTTGTTGTTGTTGTTGTTGTTGTTGTTGTTGTTGTTGTTGTTGTTGTTGTTGTTGTTGTTGTTGTTGTTGTTGTTGTTGTTGTTGTTGTTGTTGTTGTTGTTGTTGTTGTTGTTGTTGTTGTTGTTGTTGTTGTTGTTGTTGTTGTTGTTGTTGTTGTTGTTGTTGTTGTTGTTGTTGTTGTTGTTGTTGTTGTTGTTGTTGTTGTTGTTGTTGTTGTTGTTGTTGTTGTTGTTGTTGTTGTTGTTGTTGTTGTTGTTGTTGTTGTTGTTGTTGTTGTTGTTGTTGTTGTTGTTGTTGTTGTTGTTGTTGTTGTTGTTGTTGTTGTTGTTGTTGTTGTTGTTGTTGTTGTTGTTGTTGTTGTTGTTGTTGTTGTTGTTGTTGTTGTTGTTGTTGTTGTTGTTGTTGTTGTTGTTGTTGTGGTTGTGGTTGTGGTTGTGGTTGTTGTTGTTGTTGTTAAAATTATTATTATTATTATTATTATTATTGTTACTATGATTACTATGATTATTATTATTATTATGATATTTATTATTATCATGATTATTATTATTATTCTTACTACTAATATGGTTGTTGTTGTTATTGTTATTAGTTTTGTTTTCGTTATTATCATATTATACGGAGTAATTACAATTAGAATTATAGAAATAAATATTATAATTATAATTAAAATTATAATTATAGAAATAAATATAAATATAAATATAATTACATATATTATTATAGCTACATTTATAACTAGGGTAATACTTATAATAATAATTATAATTTTTATAATTATGATTATAATTATAATTATAATTATATTTAAATTATATATGTGTAATTACATTTATAATTATAGTAATTATAATTGTAATTATAATTTTAGAAATATTTAAATCAGAACAGATCAGAAAAATTCAGATCAGAAGGATTCAGATCAGATCAGGAACATTCAGATCAGATCAGGAACATTCAGATCAGATCAGGAACATTCAGATCAGATCAGGAACATTCAGATCAGATCAGGAACATTCAGATCAGATCAGGAACATTCATATCAGATCGAAAGATTCAGATCAGATCAGATCAGAAAAATTCAGATCAGATCAGAACTTAAAAAGTTCATATCAGAAACATTCAGATCAGGTGAAGAGAACAACTTCTTAGTCAGATAGAGTATTTATTAAGTCTTGAAGTATAGTCCACGTACCTATTCTTTTAGGGATTTTATTGGAATTAATTACAAATTGGTTGGTTTCTTATGTTAGTCAGTTAGTGTGACTATTAGCTTGGTGCATTGTCACTCGATCTGTATTGGTGGGTGATGCTTAAATATTACAAATACTCCGTTGAGAAAATATTATATGTTATGCATGTTTGTTATCACATAATTTTTTATATTTAACAAATGCTCCGTATGTATTAATTTAAACTACTCGTATATTTTAAACAACATAACAGAAAATGTGAAACTTTAGAGCATAAATATATTTGGCTAAAATGAGTAAATTAAGTTATTTACTAATAAAGTTTTAACTTGTGAATACTCTGTATATAATTCACAAATAAACTCATACGTTTAATTAATTTAGATAATGTTTAAATTGCTATACACATACTCTCCAATTCATTGCTTGAAAGTGCATTTGTTTCTTCTCTCTTTTTTAATTATGTATGTTTTTGTATTGCATTACTATTGATAATAGTTTGGTGTAGTTTATTTTTCTGTTTTTGTTATCCAATTACTATTTTTCTAATCTAACATAAATACTTCGGTAAAAACCGAAAAAATCGTAACCGAACCGAAATAAATCGAACCGAACAAACCGTGGTTCTAAATTTTTGAACATAAAACCGAACCAAACTGAACCGAATTCTTTACTCTGGTTCATCATTTAGTTTTAGGTGAAAACCAAACCGTTTGAACCAAACCCACCCTACAATAATTCAATACATTTGGTTCGCATTTGAGGACAAATCTGTCCATAAAATATTAAGATTATGTTTGACACAACTAGCTAAAAAGATACTTTTACGAGCTTTTAAATAACGGTTAGCTTTTAGTGACTCAAAAGATCTTAAAAAGAAAATGTGATAACTGTTTGGTAAAAAGTTGACTGTTTGATTTAGTTCGGTTTGGTATACAAGCTGTTAGGACTAAAAGTCACGAGCTTTTCTCAGATGTACACCTGGTAGCAACTCAAAAAAGATCTTTTAGTTTTTGAAAAGCTCTTAAAAAATGTCATGCCAAACATACAACTAGAGTCTTTTAAGGTCTTTTTAAAGAATAGAAAAGTTAGAAGCTAGAGCTTTTGTATGCCAAATATAGCCTAAAATAGAGAACCAATCCCATTTAATTTCTCTTTTCATTTCATTTGACTTTGTAACTTCCGTTTAATTCAATAAAGCGTTACTAAAAAAAAGAAAAAAGAGAACCAATCCCATTATCAACCGCCACGGACGATGAGAAGACCTAAAAACATGAGGGGAGCTTCTTCCGAATACCGAACGCATCTTCCTACTTCAACGTTAACCCATGGCCATGGAGGTCTCTTTCACCGAGACATCCTTTTCCAGATTCTGGTTCGACTTGGCGCTAAATCAAGGGGGAAGCTAAGCTGCGTTTCTAAATGTTTCCGTACCATATTGACCGATCCACGTTTCGTCGAGTTTCAGCGAAATTGGTCAGCAGCTCGTAACCACGGCACAACCATTCGCTTCTCTATTCAGACTAGGTTCATGGCGGACCCACCCTGGTATCTCATGTTCAATTCCACGCCAGAGCAGTTTTACACCATAAGTTACGAAGAAAATCAGAACGGAGAGTTCCTTCAGGCAAGTGTTTGGCATACGGGCAAAGGATGTTCCCAGGATGGCAAATCTGTGTCTTTTGCCAAAGATCAAATATGTTTCTTCAACAAGCATTTGAAATTGATGATTTTTAACCTTATCACAGGACAACATACTACTCTCCTGGCAACTCCGTCCAGAAGCAGGCACACTTGTGCTTTCTTGGGTTACGATGGCGTTTCGGGAACATACAAGGTTTTGAAGGCGGACGCTAATTGGAGGACAGTGAAATACTGGGTGTTCACACTGGGTGTGGATGAAACGTGGCGGGAGATCAAGAGCCCTGTATTCTTTTTCCTTAGCATAAGTTTCACTCATAGTGTTTGCATTAACGGCGTGATCTATTCCTACAATGTGCTCCGGTCGGCGACATTAGGAGGATGCTCTGAGCTGCTGGTGGCATTCGATGTTAGGTCGGAGAGTTTCCACCTGATACCTCTTCCTCCGGAAACATATGCTAAAGATGTCATAAAATCCTCGGTACTAGAACTCGGCGGGCAGTTTGCTGTCATTAATGTTCATCAGAACAAGCAAATAATTGTTTGGACCTTGCAAACGGCAGCGAAATCGCCATCTCGCTGGAAGAAACGTGTTTTCCCCTTTCCCTTAGACAAAGAGATTCTGGAGGCAGGTAGTGAATTCTTTTCCAAAACCTCTATTACCGCTACTTCAGCTGGGGAAATCGTATTGTTAAAGCTGAATGGAATACCCTCTCTTTGGGTTTTATCCAATAAGTTAGGGGCGGGATCTGTTTGGAAGAAATTTCGTATTAAAGGAATTGCTGAATGTTCTACCTGTGTTAAAATATCATCCCAAGCACTGCTTGCACAAAACATTCCCGAGAATCTCTTTCACTTGGAATAAGAAAACGCCATACTGGTCTGGTCTTCTCCACCTTACCTTCCATTTCGTTAACCTTTTATTTACTTCTTTAGTTTTTGCCTCTTAGCTATTTAATTAGATAGTCAGAATATTCTTTATGTCTGAAAGTATAGCACAATGCACCCAATTGCTTAGGGGTTTTATTTGGATTAAATACAAATGAATTGGTTGGTTTCTTTTGTTTGTGTGACTATAAGATTGAATTGGTGCATTGTCACTTTGTATTTGTGGGTGATGCTTAAACACCTTTTTACTTTCAAAAAATAACTTGAGATATACCAACTATCATCCATAAACCAATAATAATACATACTTTAAAAACAATTTTTAATCACAACTATTAGAATGTTAAACAAAAATAATCTGAATTGACTTTTTCATTAGAAATCCGGTCATCTAAGACATAAAAAACTAATGGCAACCCATCAAATAAATGATATTTGAAAATACATTCACTGATTGTCGTCTGGGGCGACCGATCGAGGGAAAGAAGCACCCATTTCGTTGCACTTCAATCACCCTCGTGAAGAGGATCTCTTGCTTGGAGCTTCCTTCGACCTTTTCGAGAATGATGTATTCCTTTCAGCCTTGCACCTCTATTGAGTAATGCCTGAGTCGCTGCATCAAGGTCTGAGCCAAATTGAGCAAAGAGGTTTGGATTTGGATTGGTCTCTGAGGTTATATTTTGATACAAGTTTTTGATGAGTTAAATGTTGAATTTTTTGTAAAAGTTTGTTATATATTACTTTTGGTCTATATTTAAATAGTTGGTATTATTAAAGTTTATTTCCAAAGTACGTATAATTCATGGTTAATGGAATATTGTTTGTATAACTTAAAGTTATTTTCCCTTTTACTTACTTTGAGTGATATAGTTAAGCAACAAATTCTTTGCATTTTTCTCTTTGATTTGTGACTGGATTTGTATGATACAAAAACATGGCCTAAATGCCTCATACATATATAACCTGTCTCTAGGAATTTTAATCTCAGGCAATCGACAGAATCCTTCCATTCGGTAATACGGAGTATAATATATGGAGCAAGTTTGAACAGCTGCATATGTGGAGATTAGTAATTTATGCCACAGAAACTCTGAAAGGTTGCACCAAATAAAGAATAGATTGCACCATTTTCTCCGATTAGATTATTTTTTAGTTGATCTACATCGAAGAACTTATGATAAGATTGTAAAATCGCATTTTTGAATCGAATTCATATAATTTCTTTAAAATCAAAACTTAAATCACAAGAAATATTAGTTTAATCATGCCATTTGCTCTTATAGTCTTATGCTAATCTATGTGTTGAAGGTTGTGTGTCATAGTATGACGTTAGATATGGTTCAGTACAATATATATTGTTCATATTACAGTGATTGGAGAGGTGTCATGCTCTGCTAATAAACTATTCTTAGATCGACTACCCCTCCAAATTTTGTAAGAAAAGAACGCAATGCCATTCTTTGACATACATTTTTCTTCAAGTATAGTTTTCTCCAAACAAGCTCATCATGAACTGTTAAAGTATGAAGTCCGGCCTAAAGATACTAATTATTTGTAACTGAAAAATTGCACGATATGTGATTTAATTTTGAACAATGTGTCGGGTAACTTAACGCTGTCAATCCATTTTTTTACTGGCTGAATGTGGGTTCTATTCTATGGCCTTCTATAACAAACACTAGTATAGTACTAGTGTCATGCGTGAATGAAATTCTTTATCATATTAAGGAGCAATTTTTTGTCACATCACATTTATTGTAATTGTAATTTTATTATACAATAAAAATAACAATAACAACTATACGAGTTGTTTTACATTTTACATGTACATTACATTGAGTAAACTCCCTGCATCAAATCATTTACCTTTGGTTCCGATATAATGTATCGGCTATCATGTTTCAATTTATGTTAGTCGACCTCAAAATCTTTTGAAAATAAAGTTTGGATTGGGTTGACTATTATTATTGGTAAGTTGATATGTTGGAATGAAAAATTGAGACTATAAAATATAATCGGAGAAAAGGGTCAAATAAGCTCTTCTACTATTACAAAACCACAACATAAGCTCTTATACTAATAAAGATATTATTGGAGTACATTTACTTTGAAAAAACCATCAAATATGCCAAATAGGTACCTGTAATAACAAGTCATCCATTTTTTTTCTTTGTCTTCACCCTAGTACGGACAACGGTGTCTGTTTTCTTCCACAAGCTTTTCTCATTTTTAAATCTTTTTCTTCACCACGTACCCTGGCCGATTTATTCTTCCTGCCGTCACTAGATCTCATTTTCATTGTTTATCGTTATTTCATTCTTTTTTTCAATTTCTATTTTGTCTAAAAAACTGTCTTTATTGTTGTTTCTCTTGTGTTCTTCATTTCAATTTTCTTTGTTTTTCTCCTTTAATTTTGCTTCCTTAAATATGTTTTAATCGAACAATTTTTAAGAGATAATTACTAAATTGCATATAAAATATATTTTCATGTGTTTTTAGATATTTTGAGCTTGATTTTAGTAATTGGATTATAAATAAAATATAATAATAAGAAAAGTTGTATAATCAAACTTAGGAATGCCTTTAAAAGAGGCCCTTGTTTAGATCCCTAAAGCTACTATATCCTCTCTAAACCCACTCGACCAAGCCTTCTCACTGGTAAGACACCAAAGAAATTTCTCATCGCCATGCTCTGTCTGTGCATAAGTAGATGACGACCCTTCTAACAAGATTAACTCCCTACCTTTGTTCCTTCTGCTCTGTATTTGAAGATGTTTGAAGCTATCCTAAAATCACATAAGTTTCTCCCTATTCTCATCAAAGTTAATGGCACACTGTATATTTTGTATGAGGGAGGCGTCCTCAAAATCAGATGCAAAATTTTTTAAGTAAAAACTAAAGTGATGGAAAATTGGAGATACGAGACCAAGAGAAGGGAAGAAAAGATGGGTAGATAAGGAAAATTGGAATAGAAACGGATCAAGCCGATGCCTAAACGCCAAGGTTGTTGGCGTTTTCCATTTTAGTTGTTTGAAACAAAAAGCTAAATAAAAAAGCCTCTGCCATTAACCAAACACCCTATTTAGCTGATTCATTTAGTCAAAAGGCCAATCAGCCAAAAATGGCTGATTGGCTGTCATCCAAACACCCCCGAAAAGTTTAGTGACGAAGTATATGCCAAATCAAATTTCACGTGATAAGAAAGATTCGTACTAGCATATTACAACAAAGAGTAAAGCCTAAAATCCCGATTATAAAACCGAGGAAATTACCAAAATGCGGGACTTTTTGGTCTCACACGCCAAAATACGGGAAATGCAATTAGTTTACCAAAATACGGGAGTCGGAATTGGGTGTTACGACTAGGGGTTAGGGTTAGACTTTTTCGTGGAACATCTCCTGTCGGAATTGGCAAATCCGAGCAGGGAACCTTTTTTTGTAGAAAACACACGGTAATAATGCATAATTCCATTTTACTCCCGTCGGAATTCGTAAATCCAACTAGATTAGGTTGAGAAAAAATTAAATAAAAACAAACCGTTTGAATACTCAATTCCGAGTAGGGCTATTGAATAACAAAAATTATGTCAAGAGCAAAACTCCAACAATATACGTGTCCACTCCATAGCAATAATACTCATTCATTTGGAATTAATTTAATACTAGGTGGGCCCTAACTCATAAGTAATTATGTCCTACATACTATAGCAACTATAATTATCATAAGGAAATTTGCTATATATAAAACTTAGTATGGAGTATATACTTATTAAATACTCCCTCCCTCCCGAAGGTTTCCACTTTCCTTTTTTAGACGTCCCATTAGAAGGTTCTCATTTCCATATTAGGAAACAATTAACAATCTTAATTGAAAAATTAGTCATTAAACATTAAAAATAATACATTTATAACATCACAGTTATCAATACTAACACATTATAATATATACCTATTAAAATTATTTCTCAAAACATAGCCGAAGTACTTTATTTAATTATCACCTAAATAACCGTTCCGTTTTGCTATGAGAACCTTCCAGCAGGACGGAGGTAGTAATCCGTAGCAGTAAAATACGGAGTATACTCTAAATCCAACTAAAATTGTTTCATGCGAAGTATCAAATTTGGTAAAGTTTGTGTGACTCTAAATCATTTTTTATTTATTATTATTTTATTAATTCAATATCAATCACATAAGCTAACTTTTCTAAATAATCGGGTCATCCCCTTTTGTACCGATGTTAGTGGGACAGAAGTAGTACTACATAATATGTACTCCTTAGCAATTACTCCGTACGTGAGTATAAAAGAATGCTAGGTGTACACCTCTTTGTGTACGCCTTTGACACACTTATTTGTCTATATAGACATAGTTGTCTATATATGTATATAGGCAACTTTTATATTTCAATATAAATTTTGTGTATACAGACAACAACTCTATCTTTGTAGACAGATAAGTATGCCAAAGGTGTACACACAAATATGTGCACCAAGCACGACGATATGTTGTTGCGGGCCGGGCCCGGGCCGGGCCGGTGGGTATATATGCCCAAGCCCGCTAATTTGTGCGGACGGGCTGGGCGGGCCTGCCCAGTTTTGTACAGGTCTAGTCAGAATACCCAATTCCAACTCCCCCTTTCCTAGAATACCTAGTTTTGTTTTGGAAACCCATGTTAGCTTTTCACGTATTTTGGGAAAACACCCTATAAAACCTAGAGAATGACAAATACTCTGTCATGAGTAAACAGGCCCAGTACATCGCCGTCATAAAATCTTGATCATCAACCGCCATGGACGATGTGAGCAGACCTGAAAACATGGGGGGAGCTTCTTCCGAATACCGAACACATCCCTTACAGCTTTCGTTTCTTCCCCGAGACGTCGTTTTCCAGATTCTAGTTCGACTTGGCGTTAAATCCAGGGGGAAGCTAAGCTGCGTTTCTAAATCTTTTCGTTCCATATTGACCGACCCAAGTTTCCTCGAGTTTCAACGAAATTGGTCAGCGGCTCCTAACCACGACACAACTATTCTTTTCTGTGTTTGGCATAGCTTGATGAGAGGTCCTTATAGCCTAAGAATCGAGTACAATTACATGCGAGAGCAGTTTTACACCATAAACTATGACGAAAATCAGGCGGGAGAGCTCCTTCAAGCAAAATCAGATATGCTTCTTCAACAAGCATTCAGAATTGATGGTTTTTAACCTTGCCTCAGGACAACATACTACTCTCCCGAAAACTCCCAGCAGCGGATTTCCTTGGGCGCTCTTGGGTTACGACGGCGTTTCGGGAACATACAAGGTTTTGAAGGTGGTATCTAACTCGAGGACAGAGAAGTACTGGGTGTTCACACTGGGTGTGGATGAAACGTGGCGGGAGATCAATATTAAACAATAATTATTATCATATTTTCCCTTGTAATTATCTCCTTATTCTCTCGTAATTATCCTTTCATTACTCTTGTTATTATCTCATTAGACTCCTTGTATAGCTAGACTACTTGTATAGCTTGGTCTCTGTAACTATAAATGTAACTCCATATGTATGGTTAATGATATCAAATTATTCCATCATCTCACTTCTTATATGGTATCACGAGCATCGATCCTCTAAATCGATTTTTTTTCCGGCTTCTATCATGGTCATCGACGCCAATACCCAGGTCATCACCATTACGGCCAGTACTCATTTTCCTATCAAATTAACCGATATCAATTTCCCAGTTTGGCGTCGTCAAATTGAATCTGCTCTCATCGGTCTTGATCTTATTGGGTATCTTGATGGATCCATTCCGGTTCCTTTGACTCATACTGATGAGGCTAAACGCCTCGTTAATCCATGTTACTCCATATGGTATCGTCAAGATCATACCATCATCAGCGCCCTTCTCGGAAGTTGCTCCGAAAGTATCCTGCCTCTCATTGCATCTGCAACAACCTCCCACAAGGCCTGGGAGCGTCTCACAGAGAGCTATGCCAGTATTTCATGCGGACGTGTAGTGTCTCTCAAATCCCAGTTTTGTCAAACCAAACGTGCAGGTCATTCTATTGAGGACTATCTCAAGGAAATGCAGGCCATTGCTGATTCTCTTACTCTGGCTCAAAGCCCTTTTCCTAATGAAGAACTTCTCGCCAACATCATCAACGGTCTCGACGAAGACTACAAAGACATCGCAGCAGCCATTCGTGTTCGTTCTGAAAAAATGCCTCTTTCTGAACTTCGGGGCATTCTTCTTGATCTGGAACGTCAACTTAAAGACCTTGAAACTGCCCAACAAGTGGTTATTGCTACAGCCAATTATACTCATCGTAACACCCAGTCTGTGCACAATGATCATTTTCCGACTGGTTCTCGTGGTGGCCGTAGTGGCCGTGGTCGCGGGTCTCATCAGCCTGCTTCTTCTGATCGTTCCTATGCTGGTCCTCCAAGCTATGAATCTGCTTCTGGCCGTGGTCGTGGCTACTCTATAGTCTGTCGGTTTTGTGACATCCCAGGTCATGATGCAAAACGTTGTCGCAAACTCCAACGTTTTCTTCGTGATAATAATGTTCCAAATGCTCGGCCGTCTGCTCCGTCAGCTAATGTTTCTACTGCTGGCTCCTCGTCTGCGCCTCAATCCTGGCTCTTTAACACCGGTGCCTCTCATCACATGACGTCGGAGCCTTCATTCCATCAGTCATTCTCAAAATATGGTGGTTCCGGTAGTGTTCATCTCGGTGATGGTAAGTCTTTGAGTATTTCTCACATTGGTAAAACCATCCTCCCGACCTCTACCCAGCCCCTTACCTTATCTAACATTCTTTGTGTCCCCCGCCTTTATAAAAACCTTGTTTCTGTTGCTAAATTATGTCAGACTAACCGTGTTTCTGTTGAATTTTTTCCTTATCATTTTCTTGTTAAGAGATCTCAACACGGGGGCGTGCCTAATGCGCGGGGAGAACACAAATGATGTCTATCATGCACCTAGTTCGTCACCTCAACCCAATGTCTCAAGTGTCGTCTCCCTCAAAGACTGGCATCATCTTTTGGGTCATCCATCTCTTCCAATATTAGTTTCTATTTTACGTCATAATAAGAGTGCCATGAATTGTAATGATATCTCAACATTTCATTGTAATTCTTGTGCTATTAATAAAAGCATCAAGTTGCCTTTTTTTAATAATTCCATGACTAGTCACTCTCCATTGGAATTAATTTATACAGATGTTTGGGGCACTCAAACTCGTTTAGTCGATGGTCAAAAATATTATGTTATATTTGTTGATCAGTTTACTCGTTATACGTGGTTATACCCTATTTCTCGTAAATCAGATGTATTTGTAATATTTGTTCAATTTCGCAATCTGGTTGAAAAGTTTTTTGGGTATCCCATTATATCTGTATTTTCGGATAATGGGGGAGAGTTTACCAAATTAATTTCTTTATTTCAACGTTTGGGAATTTCTCATTTCACCACTCCCCCACATACTCCTGAACATAATGGTACCACTGAACGGAAACAACGTCATATTGTTGATACTGGTTTGTCTCTACTTCATTATGCCGATTTACCGTTATCATATTGGTCATTTGCATTCCATACTGCCGCCTACCTCATAAATCGTCTTCCCACTCGCGTTCTTCAGTATGATACCCCATATTTTCGCCTGCTCCGCACCACTCCCAACTATGCCAAACTTCAACCTTTTGGTTGTTTATGTTACCCATGGTTACGTCCTTATGCCCCAACCAAAATTCATCCTCGGTCTATACCGTGTGTATTTTTAGGATACTCTCTTACTCAGTCTGCCTACAAGTGCCTTGACTCATATACTGGTCGTATATATTTGTCCCGTCATGTTCGTTTTGTACCTCATGTTTTTCCTTTTCGGTCATCTATATCTTCTTGTGTGTCACCGGTGCAAAATTCAGAGTCTATGTGTTCTCCTCCTTCGGTACTTATGTCTCCCACACCATCCACCTTGTCTATTCCACATATCCCTCCTAGTATAGTTGACCCTCATCTGCCAACTCACCTCCCCCTATTAATTCTACTGCCTCCACCGAAACTTCTCCCCACCCAAATTCCAACTCCCTTCCTGACTTTTCCATCCATACCACCTCATCACCTAGCCCTTCCCCATCTTCCACGTCTTCCTCCCCACCCACACCATCCTCTTCACCCACATCATCCCATGCATCCCCCCTCGCCATACTGAAACCTCCCGCCCTGTACGTGCTAAACGCCTTAATCCCAAATATTTTGGGGATGCTTATCTTAATCTTACCACCGCTCATCCCACTCCCCCGTCCCTTGAACCAACCAGTGTGAGACAAGCGCTCAAAGACCCTCACTGGAAAAATGCTATGGACGCCGAATTTCAAGCTCTTCAGCATAATGATACCTGGGAGCTTGTTCCCCGTACTCATCAAACGCCTATTCCATGCAAGTGGGTTTTTCGTATTAAACGTCATCCCGATGGCTCCATTGCTCGCTACAAAGCCCGTTTGGTTGCTAAGGGATTTATGCAATAATATGGTCGTGATTATTTTGATACGTTCAGTCCGGTTACAAAACCCGCAACTGTTCGTATCATATTGAGTATTGCCCATTCCCGTCACTGGCCGCTTCGTCAACTTGACGTAAATAATGCCTTTTTGCATGGTACGTTGCATGAGGAGGTTTACATGCTTCAGCCACCCGGTTATATTAATCCAAATACTCCAAACCATCCGTGTCGACTAAAGAAGGCTTTGTATGGCCTTAAGCAGGCTCCCCGAGCTTGGTACCTGGAGCTTTCTGGTTTTCTTCTATCTGCTGGTTTTCGGAAGTCCCGTGCAGACGCTTCCTTGTTTATTTACTCTCGTGGATCTATTTTATTATATTTTCTTGTGTATGTGGATGATATTGTTCTCACAGGCAATAACTCTCAAGCTTTGGATCACTTTGTCAAAAAGCTTACTACTAGGTTCTCGGTGAAAGATCTTGACCCTTTGCATCATTTTTTGGGGATTGAGGTCATCCCAACATGCTCTGGTATTTTTCTTTCTCAACAACAATATGTAAGACACATTCTGGAACCTGCCGCATGGATGGGTCCAAGCCGGCCAGTACTCCTATGGCTCCCACACCGCCATTGGTATTAAGTGATGGTTCTCCTGCTGCCGATAGCTCTGAATACCAGAAAAACTTGGGACTTCTTCAATATCTAGCATTTACTCGTCCGGATATTTCATTTGCGGTCAATAAACTTTCCCAATTTATGCATGCTCCTACGGACACTCACTGGCAAGCGGTTAAGCGGGTCCTTCGCTATCTCAAGGGTACTATGTTTCATGGTCTCTTTCTTCGTCGAGGTACTCCCCTTCACTTATCTGCATTTTCCGACTCTGACTTGGGAGGGGTTCATGATGGTGGTCGCTCAACTACAGCTTATGTGCTTTATTTTGGCTCTAATATTATCTCATGGAAATCGGCAAAACAAAAATGTGTTTCTCGTTCTTCAACTGAAGCGGAGTACCGGGCTCTTGCTAATGCGACTGCTGAATTACTTTGGGTCCAAAACTTCTTATGTGTGACAATCTTGGTGCAACGTTTGTTTGTGCAAATCCCGTGTTCCACTCTAGAATGAAGCATTTGGCCCTTGATTATTTCTTTGTCCGCGAGCTAGTTGAATGTCGTCAACTTCATGTTCGACATATTTCTACCAAACATCAAGTTGCGGATGCTCTTACTAAACCACTTGGGCGTGTCGCATTTAATCTTTTCCTATCCAAGATGGGTGTCTCCGATGGATCCTCCATCTTGCGGGGGGCGTATTAAACAATAATTATTATCATATTTTCCATTGTAATTATCTCCTTATTCTCTCGTAATTATCCTTTCATTACTCTTGTTATTATCTCATTAGACTCCTTGTATAGCTAGACTACTTGTATAGCTTGGTCTCTGTAATTATAAATGTAGCTCCATACGTATGGTTAATGATATCAAATTATTCCATCATCTCACTTCTTATAATCAAGACCCCTGTATTGCTTTACATTGGTAGATATTTCACCAATAGCTTTTGCATTAATGGCGTGATCTACTGCTACAATGTGCTCTACGGCGGCCGGTGGGACACATTTGCAGGATGCTTTGTGCTGGTGGCATTCGACGTTAGGTCGGAGAGTCTCCACCGGATACCTCTTCCTCCGGAAACATATGCTAAAGATGTCACAAATTCCTGGGTGCTAGAAATCAGCGGGCAGTTTGCTATCATTAATGTCCATGAGAACAAGCAATTTAGTGTTTGGACCTTGGAAACGGCAGAGAAATCGCCATCTCGCTGGAAGAAGCGTTCTTTCCCCTTTCCATTAGATGAAGAGATTCAGCAGGCCGGCAGAGAGTTCTTTTCCAGGACTTCTATTAATGCTACTTCATCTGGGGAAATCGTATTGTTAAAGTTGAATGAAACACCCTCTCTTTGGGTTTTATTGGGGGCAGACTCTGTCTGGAAGAAATTTCGAATTGAGGGGATTGCTGAATATTCGTGTGAAGCTGTGGTTGCGCAAAACATTGCCCAGACTCTCTTTCACTTGGAATAATTTTGCCGGCTGGTCTGGTCTTCTCCACCTTACCGTTCATTTCATATAGCTTTTCCTCTTTCATTTACTTCTTTAGTTTCTGCTTCCTAGCTACTCTGTATTTAATTATATAGTCACCTAGAATATTCTTTATACTCGTATAGAAAAGTATAACTCACCGAACCCAATTAAGCGATTGGTTTCTTTTGTTAGCGTGACTATTAGCTCTGTATTAGAGGGTGATGTTAAACACCTTTTAACTTGCTTCGAGCCTTCGAGTGATACAAAAACATGGCCTAAATGCCTAATACATATATTACCTGTCTTTAATCTAGGAATTTTAATCTTAGACAGTCGGCCAAACTCTTCCATTCAGTAAGATAATATAACTCTGAAGTCTGAGCGGCGGCTGCATATGTGTCGATCAGTAATATATGCCACAGAAACTCATGTCATTTCACATTTGTTTATTCTTAACAATTTCAGAAGTTCACTTTTAATTAAATGGGGTGTTAATTTTGCAAATGAATAGAAGTGAAAAAGTGTCTCTGAACATATATAAAGTGTTGTTAGCGAAAATTGAAAAAGTGTTCTTAATGAATTTAGTGTAGACAAGCAAATGAGATGACTTCCATCTTTAATGAATTCAATTAGTGCAGATAATTCAAGGGCAAACTTGTAATTGGAAATTGAGTATTAATTAATAATTAGTGGGCTACGAATGTCACTTCCCCAAAATAAAGAATCCCGGGGTATTCTGTTGGCCTCGGAACAGCACAAATCTACCTTCATACATATCTACCCCAAAACAACAATTTCATGCATTAGTCATTAGTGATAATTTGACGCATGCCCCTTCATATAAAGATACATAAAAGTTTATATGTACAGCTCGAGAAAATAAAACTTAAATTAATTATTAGAGTTTGATGCACGAGAAGTGAAGTTGAATGTAATACACATGATCTCATATATATTTATTGTACAAAAAGTGAAAAGATGTTATAGAATATAAATTAAAATGGTGAATAATATTAATTGACTGAACCGAAAAAATAATAATGCACTAATTGCTTCTAAAAATAATTGACAGTTATCAAATAAAATTATGGAGCTCGTGAGAACAACCCACATAAGATAATATATGCACATAATATAAAACAATACGGAGTATGAAGCACATAACATAAAATAATCAATTTTTCTATTGTTACACACTTTCTCTACACACACATACACACTATAAATACCTAAAAAAAAAAAATTACCCCCTTTCCATCCCTTTCACACGTGCGATACTTCCTCCCGATTTTCAATTTTTGCGCATCCCCCCTTCTCCATTCCTTCGAACTGCCCAACCTCCCCCCTTCTTCCTCCGATCAATTTTGCTTCGTCCTTGCGTTGCTGGAACGTCTTCGAACTGCCCAACCTTCCCCGTCGCTGGCCGTCGCTGCCCAACCTTCGAACTGCCCAACCTCTCGACGAAGCCAACTGTCGTCCCTAGCAACCCCGAAGACTAGCCTCGTCCCCTGCAACCCCCGTCGAAGGCATCCTGCCAACCCTCCGTCGAACGCCAGACTCCTCCACGCCAGCCCCCGTCAAAGGCGACCTTAATCGCTGCACATACAAGGTCCGAATCCTCCTCCCCCTCTGAGTCGAAAATGGTGCGAACTCCTCTTGCAACCATGGCCGAAAGGTATGTATCCTCTAATTTTTTTACAATTTTAGGCTATTTGATGATATTAATTTGGAGGGTGAAGCAAAATATCTCTGTTTGTGAAGTTTTGGAACCCATCTATTGCTTGGATTTTGAACAATAACTTTTGTCTGTGTAAGGGGAATTTTATGCCTGTTGAAGGACATATGTATTGTCTGTGAAGATCGATTTGTCAAAGTATTTGTCTGTGTGAACTTATATGTAAAAGGATGTGCCTCCATTTGTCCGTGAAGACTTATATGATTGTCTGTATGGCTCTGTATATGTCTGTGGGGACTTTATTGTGCCTGAATGCAAGACAATAAAACAGTTCTAAAGTATAACTCTTGTGTAAAATTTGCTCTGTTCTTCATTTTGATGTGCCAATTAATCCTCCATAAGTTTCTTACTCTTTTTCACTTAATTGAGTAATACTAATATTTCTAAACAAGGACTAGTAGAAACTACAGTTGATTAAATTACCAAATTTGGAACAATCATCATTTTGAAGCATTAAAACACAATGAATAGTCAATATATTTCACTATGTCCACTCGTGATTTTGTTAGATTCACTTATTCTAATAACTGCTTCATGTCACCAGGTAGTAAAATGAATAAACATAGATAAATCATCAATCATTAATATAATTTTAAATGAAATAGGTTCAGACAATATCTTCCTTGAAAGATAGTTCTTAAAATTCAATTCACTTATTAAAATATAATTAAAACACATTGAGTCTACTTATTTTCAACATAAAGTTAAACAAAAGTTTTTTTACATATGTCTGTGTGACTGATTGTGTGTCTGTTTATAATTGAATGTTTGTCTGTGTGGTTTAACATATGTCTGTGTGCTTATGGTTTGTTTTGTTACACTCATAGGGCACTTGAACTCCAGATCCCATTGAGCAAGCATTTCCCTGCGCAGTACTCTATGTGCTCGGATGTCAAACATGTTTCCAAGTACGTGAAGGACATGCTTTCCAAACAACAAATGGCACAGTTTCGGAAGACACCATGGGGTCATTTTGCTGACATACCTGATATTCAGTTTTGTGCCCAAATCGTGCACATGTTGTTGTTACGTATGGTCAAGCAACAACCCAAAGATGAGCTCTGGTTCAACATAGTGGGCAAAATAGAAGAATTCACATACAACGATTTCTGCCGCATCACGGGCTTACCTCCGGCAGCCCCCAGGCCCGCCGTTGCCGAAGATACTGAAAAAGATGATGAAGACGCTGAAGATGAGGAAGAACCTGGGGAGATTTCGAAGACCTACTTTGGTGGATCACTGGATATCACTTTCCAGATGATGAAGGACAAGGTTGATGAAGTACGGGGAGGTAAAAAAAAGGAAAGGTGACCTACCAGTGAAGCTTGCATCCCTCTTTGTAGTTGAGAATGTACTGTTGGGAAAAGATAGGACAACTCGGATCAGCCGGAAGTCTATTCAGCTTGTGAATGACTTTGAAGAGTTCAAGAAGGAGCCCTGGTCGAGAGATGCATATGATTTGCTTGTCACACATGTCAAACGTCTTCTTGATGGGCATCCAATGAAGTTTGTTGACAGTAAAACTAACAACCCTGAGTACAAAAATGCCAAGTTTTCCATCTACGGGTTCATATTGGTCTTACAGGTATGATCGCCATTTTATTAAGTTTGATTTTGTATTATATCCGTCCCAGACATATTTTTCAATGGTCACAAACACTCTGTGTACTTCCCAGACAGAGTTTTAAATTCTCACAAACATACATCTGCTCTGTATGTTTTATATTTTCACAATGCTCTATACTTCCCATAATATAAATTTCTTCACTAAACGTCGTATTTAGGTGTGGGCATATGAAAGAATTCCAAAATTTGGGGAACACTTTGGCACACGTGTTGGGAATGATGAAGTCCCAATACTAAATTGGACATGTCATGGCAAATTCCGGTCATCTAAGATACGGAAACTTGTCTTTGCTGATGTAAGTCTTCTTACTTTATCATTCCTAGTTTATCATTATAATTGTCCACTAATATATATATATTTTTATAATATGAAATCATGTTCATGTTTTCGTAGGAGGTGCCTACACCCCCTAATTTTGATGATGAAGACGAAGGTGAACATGACAATATTGAACTTGAAACAAGGGAAAAGGTTCAAGAAATGTGTTCAAATATTGATGAGATAAAAATCAGTGTTCAAAGGTTGGAAAAAAAAGTGGACGAGGAGCTTGGTGAACTGAAAAACTTACTGGTTAAGGTTATTGATACAGTCAACAAGGCTTTACAGGAAAAGGTTTAAACATCACTTGTCTGTGCAATGATTTGCTTTGTCTGTATTTAGTACATTTTTGTTTGTATGTAGTCTAAATATATATATATATATATATATATATATATATATATATATATATATATATATATATAACCAAGTGTGTATTTACTGACATTTTTTGCATCACATATTTATTGGCTCAAATGTATGCTAAAAGTGTGATCTAACCAACTTAACAATCTTCATACTCATTATATAAATATATATATATATATATATATATATTTATATATATATATATATATTTGTGTTGGTTTGTAAGGGGAATCCATCTGGCCCAAGTCAGCACGGAGAAGAAACAGAAGTTTGTGCAACACCTGTTGAAGTTCAAAGGATGTCTACTCATGGTGTTGAGAATGCAGGGACCGCGGTATGTAGTTTTCTATCTTAAGGTTTTTTGTTTTATTCTTTCCAAATGAATGATACTCTTACCAAAACGTATAAACTGTAATTGTTTGTGTGCTCTTTTTAGTGTCTGTATGTAGCAATGTATTATGCCTATGCACATTTCGTCTTGTCCGTGTATAAGTAATAAATGTCTGTCAAACACCTAATGGTTAGGCTGAAGGGGAGAATTCTTGTCCTGTTCTTCCTGAAGATCAGAATATGTATACTGACCGTATTGTGCATGTCGCAACTGAGGCAAGTTTTTGAACATTCTTATTTTTGGTATTGCTTTTATTAAATTGCAAATGCAGCAGCAAAAAGAAGTACAAACTGATCCTGATCCTGTTGCTTAGGCTGAAGAAGAGAAATCCAATGCTGTTGTTGGTCAACTACAACGTGGACTGCAAACTGATCCTGTAATGAATGTTGTTGCCGAGGTACGTTCAACGATACAAGTATACCGATTGTATGTTTTATAAATTTTTTTGGACTTCACTTTTTTTTTATAATATAAGTTTTCCTTCATTTCAAAGTTGAGTGGCGGTACGAATGAAGAACACATGTATGGGGACTGTCCCATTCCCACAGATCTTTTTATATCCTTGAATGAAATTAACATTGTCATTTGTAAAATTTCTTTATATTCACAGACAGTATGTATTTCACACATACATTATACATTAAGTGCACAGGCATAGTAAACTTGTCCTCACCGACATTTATTTGTGTGTGTGTGTATATATGATCCCGGGCTTTTAATGTTTTTTACAGGTGGGAGATGACTTTGCTTTGACACCTCACGCTCCTTTAGCAAACTTGGATTGGGACCTTGGTGATGAAGTTGCAACCGGCGGTGTAGACATGATGGCCCTCGAAGAGGCTAGTATGAAAGAAGTGAGAAAGAGAAAGAGGTTGCCATCGAAGTACATTTGCAGCCCATTCATAGCTCCCGCCGCAAAGAGGCCTAAGGTTGGAGGCACCATAACCCGAGCGCAACTACAACAAAGTGACGAAGAATGTCAATCCTTCAAGGCATGGGTGGAGGAAGATGATGAGGTAGAACCGTGCGTAATTGAGATAGCTATCCCATCATCTTACCCGACAAATAGGGCCTTCTTCCGAGAACTGATTGATGAAACCGGATGGCTAAGCAGCCAGGTGAGTCAATATATATATAATGTCATTTTACAATATTTTAGTTGAATGGTTTTTTTAGGCTTTGATAATTTTTTTTTAAAGCATTTGGATGCACTTGTTCTTATGTTTCGCGAATGCATTCATGCCGAGGCCTATGAACTCTTGAGTCCTTTGTTCGCGGTAAGTTAGTAATAACTAAATTGTGTCTGTGCTTTTGAACTTGACTTGTCTGTGCATTGATAAAGTATTGTCTGTGTAATACTTGTTTCGTCTGTAATTTTGTTTTTGCTGTAGTACCAACTTTTACGGAAGAATGTAGCTGATGATTCACAATGGAGTGGGGATCGATTCCTTAACAAAATGGGCTGGAGCCGGTATGAAAAGGTTTGTCTCCAAAATAATAAAATATTATGTCATTTTTTATATATTTACGTACCTATTAATGCAAAATATTAACTACTTTATAAATACTATAGTTAAGTAGTGGTGTTAGCTTATTAATGCAAAATATTAACTCCTACTATAGTTCCAAAGGCCTCATTAGTATACTCATCAACCAAAAATAATGTAATAGTCCAGATTATGTGGTCTGATATTTAATCAAATAGAACAAATGATACACACATTTAGTTATTCACATGTGATTTTCTAAAATTTCATACTCCCTCCGTCCCTAAATGTTCACTAATATTTTAACTACTTTATTGAATGTGCAGGTGTTCATGCCATTGCACAGTGATGGAAAACACTGGGTGCTGTCTGAAATTGACCTTGTCAATAGAATCGTACGGGTATACGATTCTATGAAGACCCGTAGGTTAGTTGGATCTGTGAGGCTGTTGTGTGTGAGACTTCCACACCTGTTTCGAGTCATAAAATGCAACCCCGCTCTTAGCGCCACAGCAGATTCACAAACTTGGAGAGCGGAGGCAGTGGACGATGTTCCACAACAGCAACCCGGGTACATTCATGTGTTGTGGATATTATTTTGTCTGTACACAAATATAGTTTCTCTGTGCATGCAAATGTAATGTCTGTATTAATTGTTTTTTGTCCAGTTCCGGTGTTTGCGGCGTCATGGTTATGGCCTTTGCCGAAGCACTCTTGCAAAAGTTGCCATTACTGCCCGGGTGTGCTTATGACAACATGGCATTAAAAAGATGTGAATTCGCAATGAGGCTTTGGAGTTTGAGGAAGCGGTCGAGTTAGACAGGATGTTTGGAGGATGTGTTTGGTTGTGAAACAATTATGTAACATTACTGTATACATTTTATTATGCTCAATTTTGGCCTACATGGATTTGGTTGTTAAATGTAGGAGGTTCTACAATGTTACACTATAAATGTTGTACAACGTCCTAGAATGTACTCCCAAGGATTACCAGAAATGGTGGCATACAATTACGTTTGGTTTTTGTGGCAATATATTTATATATATTACGGAGGATGATTTTGCTTGTGAAGAAGAAAAACTATTTTAGTGTTGTTATCTGTGATTAATAACTAGTTTATGTAATTAATAACAACTATGTACAATGTTTAGAGAAAATTGGTATGACTTCGGCAAAAATAAGGAATTGTTGAAATTTGTATAAGATAGGAGAAAATTGGTATGACTACCGGCTTCAACAACGGCTGCATTGAAAGTTTTATGAAGTCGTATTCCGGCCACATCGTTGATTGCAACTTGCCTCATTGCTTGGGGAGTCAAAGTCCGATAGCACCGGAATAGGCGAGCCTTAGTTGGACTCATGGGATGGTTATGCTCAAGACAGATTTTTGAAATTTCCCAACGTCCCTCATAATTTGTGCGTGCTCGTATTTTTGCTCCACATCCCATTTGCATTGAAGGTTGAGGCTTCAATTGATTTTTTGACCTAGTAGATCTGCTACCGGCATGAGAGCACTCTAGTAATACTCCAACTATATCTACTCCATTTTTGTGTTTCGTGGTACTCCTAGTTCTTACGGGAAATCCTAAACGCTTCCCATATGCCTTGTAGAAATCATACACCGCTTCTTTGCTATCAAATTGCATACCGACATCCGGAGCTTGTATAGAACCATCATCACTCTCATTTTGCTTAATTGCTCCATCTGATCGACATTGACGTAATTCAACGATTAAACAATGTGTCCATGTCAACATGCAATGAGGTAAGTATATTTAAGCACACAGGCAGAGGTATATTTATGCACAGACAGAAGCATGTACACACACAAACAAAGGAATATTGAGACACAGACATTACAAACAGAAATGTACTTGCACAGTGGTATATTTACGAACAGACATAAGTATATTTACTCACAGACAAAAGTATATACGTACACAGACATTTAAACTCAATGTACACAGACATAATGAAACTTATAATATTTTGAACACAGAATTTATATACACTTTACGCACAGACATAAGTATATTTACTAACAGACAATTTATATACACTACACAAACACAAATAATTGTCTGTGAAGAACAAACATATATTTAAGTTCAAAGCCAATGAAACCAACACCACAAACTCATACCAAGCTCAGGGACGTCGTCCATGGCCTGTTCTCCGTCAAGTTCAGCCGCCGAATCTGGTTGTCTATCATGTTCAGCCGTGGCCGCCGCCGGTTCTCGCTCACCTTCATCCTCACGTCGACAACCACCGGTTGCTTCAGCCCAATCAGCCCAAAAATCGTCCACCGTAGTATCAATGATAGTTTCATTCACAAAGCCAGGAAATTCCATTTTTGTAAGGTTCTTCTGCTGCGGGAAATAAAAAACGACGAAGAGGGGAGGGAGGGAAGGAGGTGCGGGAATAGAGGGGAGGGGAGGGAAAGAAATCGCACGTGGGGGAGGGGGTAAAAAAAATGTAATTTTTGGGCCTATTTATAGTGTGTAGGTGTGTGTACCAAATGGTGTACCCCAAGCCCGATTGTAAAATAATAGATGCACATAATATGAAGCTTTCAAAAAGATGTGAAATATAAAATAATATGGAAAGTACTCATTCCTTTACTAAAAGGATGATACTAAAATCCCTTGGTTACTTATTAGATCATGTCAACAGTGTGTATTTCGAATGCTTCAGATAGTTTTCCCAATTTTTACGTTAGGGCTTGTTCTTATTTCAATTAATATATTCTCCCTCCGTCCCAATTTACTTAGCCATCTTTGACTTTTCCAGTCAAAAATTTTAAATTTTGACCAAATATTCTTACTACTATATTAATGTAAAATTTAATGATTTTTATACTTTTATGATAGAATTCTAAACAAATAACGATTTCATATCATTTTTAAATTATCAATATTTTCTCTATATAAATATATAATCGATCAAAGTTAGACAACATTGAATTGAAAAGTCAAGTTTGGCTAACTAAAATGGGACGGAGGGAGTATATATATTGACAATGTTCAAGTAAGGTAGGCTTAAGAATTTGTAATTCTTAGGCCTCTTTCGTTTGAGGCACTTGCAGAGTTCCAGGTTGAACTTGAAGAAATTTGGTGAGCATGGTCTCCATGACTTTTAGATTATGTCCACCGAGTTTTACAATAAAATTCAATCGGGAAGTCAGTTAAATAAATTATTGAAAAAAAACTGCATTGTATATATAAAAATCTGCGCAATTTTGAAAAAACTATTTAACCAACGTTCCGATTGAATTTTAATCTGAAATTTGATGGGCATAGTCTACACTTCATGGAGAACATGCTTAAAAAATTTCATCAAAAAATTCAACACAGGAGATCCTCAAACGAAAGAGGCCTAAGAATTATAATTCTCAGGCCTACCTTACTTGAACATTTCCCTATATATGTAGGGTAGTGTTCTCCTAAGGGAAGTCAGTTAACTAAATTATTGACAAAAACTGCATGCTATATATATAAAAAACTGCCCAATTATAAAAAATTATTCAAATGACTTTACGGAGTATCATGATAACTTATACTCCCTCCGGTTTTTAATAAACTTCACACTTTCCTTTTTGGGACGGTCTAAAATAAACTTCACACTTCCTTATTTCCTTTTTTGGCAAAGAAATCTACATCAAAACAGTGCCAAACAGTGCCAAACAGTGTCTCAACAGTGCCAAACAGTGTCAAACAGTGCATCAACAGTGTACTCTACAGTAAAGTCAAATTTCTTTCCTTATTTTGTGTGAAGTCAAACTGTGAAGATTAAAAAAAACCGGAGGTAGTATGTAATTATTACGAAATAAATTAGTATACAATTAAATTCACTAATAGTTACAACATAATATTTTTATCCATGAATTTTTTTTCTTTGATCATAAATTCCAAAGAGTGATAAAAGGCTTTTATCACAGATGCTTCATACTCCTTGGTTCATATTCCATAGTACAACAAAAAACAAAATAAAAAAATTGAAAGCAATGTAATTTGGCATCTTACTTCAAAAAAACAGAGAGAAAACAGGAAAATAAGCCCTCGAACTATTTGCGTTTTTGCAAAATAAAAAAATTGAAAGCAATGTAATTTGGAAACGGGCGGTTTGCTAAAGATGTCTTGGATACCTCTTCCTCCGGCAACTTATGCTAAAGATGTCAAAAAATCCTCGTTACTAGAAATCAGCGGGCGGTTTGCTGTCATTAATGTCCATCAGAACAAGCAATTTATTGTTTGGACCTTGGAAACGGCTGCGAAATCGCCATCTCTCTGGAAGAGGCGTGATGTCCCCTTTCCATTAGAGGAAGAGATTCTGGAGGCAGGGAGTGAATTCTTTTCCAATACTTCTATTACTGCTACTTCAGCTGGGGAAATCGTATTGTTATTTATGCGTACTGGAATACTCTCTCTTTGGGTTTTATCGGACTCTGTTTGGAAGAAGTTTCGAATTGAGGGGATTGCTGAATGTCCTACTTGTGTTAAAAAACATTGTGAAGTACTGGTTGCACAAAACATTGCCGAGAATCTCTTTCACTTGGAATAAGAAAACGCCATACTGGTCTGATCTTCTCCACCTTACCATTCCATTTCATCACGTAGCTCCTCAAACTTTCATTTTCTTCTTTAGTTTCTGCTTCTTAACTATTTAATTAGATAGTCAAATAGAATATTCTTTATGTCTTAAAAGTATAACACACCTTACCCAATTGCGTAGGGGTTTTATTGGGAATAATCACAAATTAATTGGTTGGTTTGTTTTGTTAGTGTGACTAATGACTATTAGGTTGGTGCATTGTATTAGTGGGTGATGCTTAAACACCTTTTTAGTTACCTCCAGTGATATTATTAAGCAACCAATTCTTTGCATTTTTCTCTATAACTTGTGACTGCATTTGTATGATATACAACCAGGTTTATTTTTGTATTTTTTTTTATCTTTAGGTCCATTTCATACACACTATTTTATTCTCTTATGTCCTTTCGTAAAAGGTCCGTATGAACTACGCTGCTTCACCCAACTCTAGCTCGCGCAGATGAGGGCCTCAAAGCAGGGACGCAGATGAGGGCGTGAAAGAAGTGCTACCGCACAAGACCTCTCGATTTAGAAGGCCCAAAATTTTAAATATAGTCTACCTAATATACAAAATCCTTTTTTATTTGATTAAAGATTCCTATTTTAGTATTTTTTTTTTAAATACAAACATTAAATACTAATATTTGTATGTAATTAAAATGCAATTGTTAATTATAAATGTTCAACTTCTTTATTACATAAGGCCTGGATAAGGCCTAGTTATAGTAATTAGCACAAATTCTCGTATAGTTTAGACGAGCTTGGTTTTAAGGGACGGATGAAGTAGTTTTTCAGTAATATCCTACTCTATATTTTTTAGTTTATGATTTTAATTCATTTCTTTTCGGCTTACGTTTTTTTTACCAATTTTGGTTGTTCAGGTTCGAAATATGATTATATCTCAATGTCACATTTGATTGTAGTCTTTTTTGGGTTATTTTTTAAAGGTTGTCTTTTATATTATACTCCCTCTGTCCCAATATAAAAGGCACACTTTCCTTTTCGGTCCGTCCCAATATAAAAGGCACATTTCCCTTTTTGGCAAACAAAACAGTGTCAAACAGTGCCAAACAGTGCCAAACAGTGTCCAAACAGTGTCTAAACAGTGCCAAACAGTGTTCAAACAGTGTTCACCCTTAAAAAGTCCCCAAACGCAAATGTGCCTTTTATATTGGGACGGAGGGAGTATTTATTATTTAATATAAGGCTTTTTTCACGTGATTTGCACTTGGTCTCCTAATCTATTGAGCCGGCCCTACCTCAAAGGGTTGCCTTTTCCCCAGATTATTTTTCGCATCCATTGATACTAAAGTTTTGTTCTTCTGATCTCATATCATTCGATACTCATTTCCAATTTGTAGCTAATCTGATACTCTCAACTATCATTCTTTATTTTATTTCTTATATTTATATCCTTGAGTCTTTAATTGATAAGAGTATTTAAAATGGACTCTTGTGAAATTGAACTAAAAAAGTCGATGACTATTTGAATAAAAGATAGACATCTTGATTTAATTGATTTATTACCAATTGTTCAGAAAAATTAGAGTTTTATTAGCGTCTTTCTTGGTCAAATATTAACTGATTGATGCACTTGTATAATACTATGTATGTTGATATATGTATGATCTTGTGACTAGATTCTCTAACTCCTTTCTAATTTTATACTTTGATCGAGTTTATTATGATTGTTATATATATCTCATACGGCATAAATATACAGATCATTTAGACAATGAATATAAATACATTAAAGTAGTATTTAAATGAGCATTGGTTCACTTCTAATGAGCATTAGACCTATTTTGTTGAATATTAGGAGTCTAATATTGAGCATCATTCATATTGTTTAATTCACTCTATTTTTTTCTTTTATAATAACTTATTAAATTATATATATATAATACTCCTATGAATTTCAATATGTGAATGAGTGAATCTAACGTAATACGTAGTAATGTAGTATGATACTTTTGACATATGCATTGATGAGCATACCATCAGTATCAAATGAGCATGTATAATTTACAAAATGTGCATTGATATGAAAATCGTAAGGTTTGTTAGTTCAAGATCACGACATTTTTATTGAGTATCAAACATCCTCTATAGAGATGAAAATCACGGTTTCTATTAAATGAGCATTAAAAAACTTTTAATGAGTATCAAAATTATTCTGTTGAGCATTTTTGTAATTTATGAGAAAATCTCAACTTCTGTTAAATGAGTATTAATGAACTTTTAGTAAGCAATAGACATGTTTCGTTGAGTATTAGAGTCCTAAGAATGAGTATCAGATCTATTCTGTTGAGTATTTTTCGTAATTTATGAAAAAATCTCAACTTCTTTAAAATGAGTATTAATAAACTTGTAGTGAGCAATAGACATGTTCCGTTGAGTATTAGAGTCCTAAAAATGAGCATCACGTTCTTTGTTTTAATTTATATCTTTTAATTTACTTTTTTTCTTTTTTTTGCTTTTATTAAAATTTCTTAAATTAGATCTATACTCAACTCTTATGAATTCCAATACGAGAATGTGAATTAATATTATACTTCTGAAATATCTGTATGAAAATCGTAAGTTCTACTAGTTGAGATCAATACATTCTCATTGAGCATTGACCTTCACCTGTTGAGTACTATAAACCTGCAATTGAGTATTGTGATCCCTTCCATGCCTTCTAATAATTCACTTTCTTGTTATTAGTTTTTTTTTTCCTTTTGTAAGATTGGTTAAATTATATCTATAATTAACTCCTATAAATATATTCTGATATGCGAACCTAATCTAATATGATACCATTGAAATGTGAATTGGTATGACATTCTACACCATACTCATTTTATTATAACATAAACTCATTTTAGTAATCTTCACTACACAATATTTAATAAATTAATAAACATTCGCCTTAAATAAAAAATAGAAAAAAACATTAATACCTTAAATATTCATCATCAATTAAAATCAATGGAAAAGTTGGTTGTGAAAAAAAAGGAAAAAGAAATAAATAAAAAAACAACGTACAAAGCATACTACGTGAAAAGATCTACGGAAAAAGTTAGGTAGAAGAAAAGAATACTCGGTGGCCGGTGCATAGATCTACGTACGAAGCTCGAAAAAGAAAGCATATGTACGCAGCCACGCAGGGAAGAATAAGGACCGAAGAATTACGGCCATACAAATCAGATATTATTACAAAAATACTCGGATGTACCGTGAGAATCATACATTCGGGTGTACGGTATAATTTGCCTATATATAACCCGTCTTTAGGAATTTTAATTTTAGGCAATCTGCAGAACCCTTCCATAGGCAAGATAATTGAGTAAAGGGTCAGTTTGGTCCTCAAAGTTGCAAAAAAGGCGTCAAATAAGTCCTTATATAGAAGATTCTGTCCGGACGTGCCATTTGAGGTGGCACCCGGTGGAATTTTGTGATAAATTTTTTTGAACATCTTATTCATTAAGTCTAGTTTACTCATACCAAATTTCAGCTAAAAATTCAATCGGGAATACATTCAAATGAATTCTTGAAGATAACAGCGCTTTTAACGGCACAGTTATCTTCAAGAATTCATTTGAATGTCTTCCCCATTGAATTTTTATCTGAAATTTGGTATGAGTAAACTAGACTTAATGAATAAGATGCTCAAAAATTTTCATCAAAACATTCCACCGGGAGCCACCTCAAATGGCACGTCCGGACAGAATCTTCTATATAAGGACTTATTTGACCCCTTTTTTGCAATTTCGAGCACCAAATTGACCCTTATCCCCAAGATAATTACACTGAAAGGCTGCATATGTGGAGATTAGTAATACGAAGTATATGCCACAGAAACTCACGTCAGCTTCACATTTGTTTATTCATGACAGTTTCAAAAGCTCGTTCACTTTTTAAATAAATTAGGTGTCAATTTTGTAAATGAACGAAAGCGAAAAGGTGACAATTCCGGTACCTTTCTAAAATAAGAGATACCGTACCTATGATTCATTTGATTGGACCACATTACTTTATCAATTTTAATTTAAATTGATGCTAGCATCGTATTTTGTAAAATTGATAAATCAAATGGACATTAATTTGAAGTCATTCTAATTTATTCTTATGGACATTATTGCTAGTACGAATTATTTTTATGGATACTCTAAGTACGGATTATTATTGTAGAACCCATAAAAGTAGGGATTATTGTTGTGAATTTCGCCTAAAGAAAAAGATGTCTGACAAGGGCTGGGGTGGGTTTCAATGAACACGCAGGGAGTAATAAAGTCTTTTAGGGTAATAACGTCTTTTACCACACTTTTGTGTGATGAAAAAGCTAATTGGCAAAGTTTTCTGGGACAGCTAGGTTAAAAAGGAAATATGGTAAAGTCCAACGGGACGGAGGGAGTATAAGATAACAATAACATAAAAATATAAGAAAGATAAAAGATTAAGAGATAAAAGAGCATAAAAAAGCAAATGGTAAAAATAACATAAGACTATAAAAAAAACAAAGAAGATAAACGATAAAAGCAAAAGAGAGATGAAAAAAGGAAAGAAAAGAAAAGAAAAGAGATCAATCGTCCACACGAATGTGCGTCCTCCACTTTGCCCTCTCTAAAGCTATAGTGTCATCCAACCCCAGAAGACATATATCAGTTTTGATTCCCCTAATCTAAGTTTTTTTTTTCCCCTAATCTTAATATGTTAACATGGTTATTTACATTAGGGAAGAAATGAACGGTTTGCAATTTGGACGATAAGAGTGATTTTTATTTGATCTGCATCATATGTGTGGTGCGAGAGTGAGTGTGTGGTAATCGTAAGAGATATGCTTAATAGTATTGTACTTATTACTATTTTATGTCTCATTTTTCTTTTTTATTTAACCCACAAAGCTTATTTGGTACAACAAAAATAAAAATCCATCACATAATTACGCTTTGGTTATACGATAGTAATTTGTACGTGTCACTTGTTCAATGCTCACACGCAAATATGGTAGAATGGATGTAGTTAGACCTGGACTCGGGCCGGTTCGGG